GATAAAATAAATAAGTTCTTTTAACCATTTTTAACATTTCATTGATCAATATTAATTAAAATATAATAAAACAAGTAGGAAAGCTCTAGTCGGGGTGCCCGACTAGGAGATACCCTGATCCCAGTCCTATCTGCGTTTTTTCATATTTTCCGTAGTGTGCATAGAGTATTACAAATAAAAACTGACATTACCACACCAAGATTCGAACCCACACTTTTTACGCAACGCGCATCAGATCTACCAACACCGCCACTTCATCATTAAAAAAAAAAAACAAATCAATAAAAAATGTCATGTCGCCATAAGGATTCAACTCGAGATTAAACGCCGACGAGCGCCGCCTCTACCAATTCAGCCACTGCACTGCTTGCTCAAGTAGTTGCAAATTTGAAGTTAAGTAGTAGCTGATTCAAGCAGTACTCAATCGCAATTTCGATTCTTCGAATTGAAAATAATACAATGCAATAATGCACACGCATAGGAAAAAAGCGAGCGCGTGGCGCTGCTGACATGTGTGATTTTGCAAAGTGCCCAAACATTTTGTTTAATAACTTCTGTTTTACTTAATGGATTTTAATGATCAGCATATGATCCACATATTCTATTAGCTTGGTTGTGGTACAAACGCCTTCACATAATGGCCCTATTTCCAATTGAACTTAAATTTTAAGAATTTGTGAAAATTTGGAGCCGGTATCCAATATCCAACAAAAATCAAAATTGCATAAAATATACATAAAACTAAATACAAAATTTGAAGGCTCTAGCTCTTAAAATGTCCGAGATATAATTTATTAACTGTATTTCAATCATGTTTTTATTCAATAACAAACAATTAAAGTCGAATAGTTATCAAATATTTAAAGCAAACTTGACATACGTGTGCTATACACGAACCTATACAAATTTCAAGTCTCTAGCTCTTCTAGATGCTGAGATCGACGCGTTCACACATACGGACAGACGGATAGACGGACGGACAGACAGACGGACAGAGCTCAATCGACTCGGCTCAACTTCAAATTTGCAACTCGTCTTGCAAGTGGTGCGGTAGCTGCGGTGGTAGAGGCGGCGCTCGTAAGCAGCTGGGTCCCAGGGTTATTTTTTTAAATTATGAAGTGGTGGTGTTCGTAGAGTTGGTGCGCGTTGCGTAAAAATAGTGGGTTCGAATCTTGGTGTCGCGCCGTCGATTTTTATTTATTTTTTTTAATACTCGATAGAAAATACGGAAAATATTAAAAAACTCAAAGAGGACTGGGATCAGGGTAGTCGGTCACCTCGGCTAGACCGTTCCTACTTGGTTTTATAGATTAATTATGAAGTGGTGATGTTGGTAGAGCTGATGCGCGTTGAGTAGGCAACGTTGGTTCGAACCTCGGTGTCGTAATATTGGTTTTTATGTGTTTTATTTTATATAGCCCCATTCTCACATAATAGGTACTCATAGAAGTCCACAAACAAAGACAGAGGACAGTGACGGCATATATCCTCCTAAATGACCAAAAATGGCAACAGGCAGCTCAGCTGAGCTGAGCGATGAGAGGCAGGCTAGCGCATAGTCAAGAGTGGAACAGCAAAGCGACAGATTGATGTAGATGCGAGATGCCACACGTTGCACAGCAATGCCACTTCGTCTAGATGTGAAAATACGAAGATGTCAAGTTGAATGTAGTGGCCGTTAGATAGCTTACAGTTACAGTACTCCAACATGGAGTGGTACAGCATATCGCAACCCAGAGAGGAATATAACTTGGAGAAAAGAACGAATACACAAAGCTCATAAATGTCAGGCAATGAAAATGTTTGCCCAGCTAGCCGTGCCGTGTTTACTACTATTCCAGTTAGCTGTCCTTGATATTACCTGTTATGGTATACATTGTTAGCTGTTGTGTAGATTTTTGGGATACCTTCATGCTCCTCTATTTGTATCCCAATGGTAGTCGTAGCGTATAGCACCAAGCCCAACCAAGACCAGCGGCTACAATTCTGTTGGCTTCTGCTGTTGTGTATGACATTCCAAAAACGAAAACATATTTCCCATTTGAGCGCATAACAACGATACGGCTTTGTCGAAGCCGGTTCACATAGTTAACCCAATGTGAGTATTTTGCAATTGATTTTCTTCCTCTCCCGACTTGTGCCCTTTTTATACCCTGATCCCATTGAAAATTGGAAATCAGGCTATAATGGTTTTGTGCAAATGTATGTAACAGGCAGAAAGAGGCGTGGCAGACCCCATAAAGTATATATATTCTTGATCAGGACGACAAGCCGAGTCGATTTTCTTTCTCTTTCTGTCTGTCCGTATGTGTGAACGCGTCGATCTCAGCATATATAAGAGCTAGAGATTTTAGACTTTTTTTGTAGGTCCATGTATAACACAGGTATATCAAGTTTGTTTCATACATTCGATAACTATTCCCATTTAATTGTTATACAAAAAAATATGATCAAAATGTAGTTAATAAATTATATCTCGTACGTCTTAAGAGCTAGAGCCTCCAAATTTTGTATTTAGTTTTATGTATTTTTATGCAATTTTAATTTTTATTTGATTTTGGACACCTGCTCCAAATTTCCCCAAATTCTTCAAATTTATGTTTAGTTGGAAATAAGACCATTGCATATCTACAAAGCCAATAGAATATGTAGAGCATATGCTGAAAATGTCATTCAAATCCATAAAGTAAAACAGAAGTTATTAAACAAAACGTTTGGCCAATTTGCAAATGCACATGTCAGCAGCGCCACGCGCTCCCCTTTTTCCTATGCGTGTGCACGCATACATTCAAAAGCTTGTATTGTCCTCTATTCGAAGAATCGAAATTGCGATTGAATAGTTCTTGAATTATCAGTTGCTACTTTAGTTCAATTTTGCAACTCTTCTTCTAAATGGTGCAGTGGTGACGTTGGTAGAGGCGAAAGTTGTAAGCGGTTAGTCTCTGGGTTTGAGCCTGCCGGCGAAGAGAGGACGTGTTCTATTATTTTTTATTATTTAATTATGAAGTGGCGGTGTGGGTAGAGTTAATGCGTTTTGAGTAAAAATTGTGAGTTCGAATCTTGGTATCGTAAGGACGATTTTTATTTTTATTTTTTTTTTTTTAATACTAGATTTTTTTTGATACTCGGGATCAGAGTATCTTCTAGTCGGGCACCCCGACGATTGTTTTCTTACTACACCTTCAGTGTGGGGGAAAAGGAAAATAATTTTATAACTGCATTCTAATCAAGTTTCTAATCGATAACAATAAAATGGGAATTGGTTTCGAATATTTGATACAAATTTCAAGTCTCTAGCTCTTATAGATGCTGAGATTGACGCGTTTATACAAACGAACAGACGGATGGACGGACAAACAGACGGACAGGGCTCAATTGACTCGACTTGTCGTCTTTATTGGGTCTGCCATTCCGCTTTCTGCCTGTTACATACATTTGCACATACCCATTATACCCTGATTTCCCATTTTTAATGGGATCAGGGTATACAAATATATAAAACGAAAATATATATATTTCTGTTGTCACCTGCAATTGACATGCAATGCAGAAATGAATCGTAATATTAGAGTCATTATACCCTGATCCCATTGAAAATGGGAAATCAGGGTATAATGGTTTGGTGCAAATGTGTGTAACAGGCAGAAGGAGGCGTGGCAGACCCCATAAAGTATATATATTCTTGATCAGGACGACAAGCCGAGTCGATTGAGCCCTGTCCGTCTGTCTGTCCGTCCGTGTGTCCGAATGTGTGAAGGCGTGGATCTCAGTATCTTTTATAACTAGAGACTTGAAATTTTTTTGTAAGTCCGTGCATAGCACGCGCAGATCAAGTTTGTTTCAAATATTCGATAACTATTCGCATTTAATTGTTATCGAATAAAAGCATGATTGAAATGTAGTTAATAAATTATATCTCGGACGTCTTAAGAGCTAGAGCCTCCAAATTGTATTTACTTTTATGTATATTTTATGCAATTTTGATTCTTGTTGGATTTTGGATACCGACTCCAAATTTCCCCAAATTCTTAAAATTTAATTTCAGTTGAACTAGGGCCATTATGTTTGCATCTCAACCAATAGCCAATAATAGCCAATAGGATATGTAGATCATATGCTGAAAATTTCATTAAAATCCATTAAGTAAAACAGAAGTGATTAAACAAAATGTTTGGCCCAATTTGCAAAAGCACATGTCAGCTGCGCCACGCGTAGGCATTTTTCCTATGCGTGTGCATACATAAATTCAAATGCGTGTATTCTTTTCTATTCGAAGAATCGAAATTGCGCTTGAATTGTGCTGAATTATTAGCTGCTACTTATGTTCAAGTTTGCAACTGTTTGAGCAAGCGGTACAGTGGCTGTGTTGGTAGAGGCGGCGCTCCTATGTGGCTAAGTCCAGGGTTCGAGACCGGTGGAGATGAAATACTTTTTATTGTTTTATTTTTTTTTTTAATTATTAAGTGGCGGTGTTGGTAGAGTTGGTGCACGTTGCGCAAAGAGTCCGAGTTCGAAACCTGGTCTTGCAATGTCGTTTTTGTTTGTTTCCTTTTTTTTTTGAATACTCGATACGAACTACGGAAAATATTAAACTAAGAGGACTGGGATCAGGGTATCTCCTAGTCGGGCACCCCGACTGGAGCTTTCATACTTATTTTCGAATCAATATGTTATATAAATTACAAACAAGGGCAAACACCTGTAAATCCATTGAAGGACATTGATTGGCTGTTTCATTTATCATTTTACACAGTTAAAATTCAGGGTGTCTTATAGCCGTGTTTGTGTTGTTTCGACAACAGCAGCGGTGGCGACAGAGTCATTACACAACTCGTTACTGTCACGCCCTGTTTCCGATTAAACATTATAAAGGTTGACAGTGTGCCTGTAAGCAAAGGAGGCTTTAGTCAGTGCCCACTCGCTTCTCTTGCTTTTGCGCAATATAAGCGGATATTAAAGTTGCCATGCTCATCAATTGCTCTTTGCTTCTCTGTTTTCAGTTTATTGGCAACAATAATGGTCAGCAAAATATTGGCAACATTGGCTGCTGGACAAACAACTAGTAGCACTAATCATCATCACCATCATCAGCACCAGCAGCAGCAACAGCAACATCAACAGCCTAATCACAGTACAGTCAGTCTGCACGGAAGTAGCAATACCAGTTACCAGCGTCTACAAGCCTCAACAACAACAGAATCAATCACAACAACGGTTACAGCTGCCGCTCGCCAGTGCAACTATAACGCGCTCAACGGATTGGAGCAGGACTCTGTCATCAACAACGCCTCTAACAGCGTTAGTGGCCATGAGCAACAGCAGCCATTGAACTTATCGCGAGGTCTGCTCTCGCCTTCGCCACCGCTCAACGATCAAATTAATTTGCTATTTCCCAAGTGCCGACCCAAACAACAGCAGCAGCAACAGCAGCAACAAAAGCAGCAGCTGAATCCACAGCTATCGAGCAACAACAATCGACAGCAACATGAACAAATTGCGGAAGTAAATCTGAACAGTGGCAGCAACCCACCAGCAGCAGCAGAGATAATAGGGAGAAAGTCACCTACTGTCACGTCCATCAGCACGTCCAGCTACTATAAAAGTGTGAATATAATAACACAATCTCCGCCACCGCATTCAGCCTCGTCTCACTCCTCAGAGTCGGTATCTTCGGTCACGCCGCGTATATCGACAAATCCATTTTTGTGTGCACCACTGACACCACCAACAGCGCCAACTGTTATAGTGAACGGTGGTGATACGGACATCGACAGCATTATATTGGCAGAGGACGAAAGCTTGCACCAACCGCAGCAGCAGTTGCAGCTGCTTACCGAAGAGTCGGTACCACAGACAGCATATCCAGCATCTTTCTACTATCATACAGGCGATATCAGGCGTGGCTATAGCTATACAGATATGCCGCGCAAACGGAACAGTGCCATATCAGCCGATAGGCAAAACCAACATCTTGCGCTGCTTAACGGGAATGGCAATAGCAGCAGTAGCAGCAACAACACTGGCAACGGAATTGCAACAAACAGCCAGAATCCGTTTATCAAAGAGAATTACTGGGAGTCGGCTACTCCATGTACTAGCACGTTATTGCACTCGCCTACAGAATATTCCGATGAACATCAACAGCAGCAACAACAGCTGCAGCAGCAAGATCAACAGCATATGCACGCCTCAGCAAGACGAGCTTATCATCAGCAAAGGGAGCAACTGGTACCACAATTGTACAGCATAGCACAGAGGCAGACGCAGGCACAGAGTCTTCAAACGCCACACTTATTGTACACAGGTCGCAGTCCTGTTAACTGCAACTTATCTGCTGATACTGTTGGGGGGCAGCAACAGTCTTCACTTGGCGCCAGCAATCCATGTGCTGATGGGCTAACTTCACTAGCTAGCCAATATCTGTACGGCAGCAAATCGTCACTGGACCAACATCCAACAGACTGGGAGTCGCGTAAACAGCGGCTGCGTGGGGAACGTGAACGTGAAAGAGAGCGAGAACAAGAACAAGAACGTGAGCAAATGCTTCTGGAACAGCAACAGCATCTGCAGCTGAAGGATGCACATGCGGGACGCGGTAACCACCTTAGTCCCCTTGCGGTAGCACAACAACAGCAGCAGCGCAAACGACACGTCAACACCGACGATCGAGAACACCGGTTAATCAATAATGAATCCTCTGAAAGTTGGCAACGTAAGTAAATGGCAGTATTATAACATCTTTAACTTTTAAACAACAGATAAGAGTTATCTAGTGGGCTTACTAGCTATTATAATCTTACAATTATGCACAAAAAGCAGGTCGAAATATCGATTCATATCGATAATATGAAAGGATGAGTCATAAAAATAAAATAAACATGTACTACATATAGCAAATAAGGGTAAATATATTCAAGTTTCATGCTCTGGATTTTGTATCAAACGATATCGCTGAGATCGCCCGGGTGGACAAAATTAACTCTTGAGTTTGGGGCTGCAGACTCACTAGCTAGATTGTTTATTGTTTTGACATAGCTCAAATAGCTGTGCCATTCCATATATGAAGCCCTTTTCCTAGCCAGCTGGTCTTAACTCTATGGGGATGACCATGACATCAAGTTGCAATTCATGCGTAATGAACGATACTGTCAATATATATGAAGGGTTAAGTAAAAAAGTAATAGAGCCCTGGTGCATAATTAAATCGGTTGCAATTAATTGGCAAAAACCGCAGTCAGTCAGACGACAATACACATTCCAAGCTATTTCTTTATCTCTCGCTCTCACGTACCTTTCAAGATCTACGTGTTACGACCGAGTCAAGCACTCTGACGCCGGAGGAGATCAGGAGCAGCAAAGAGCAGACCGCTAATCAGACGCAGCCTGGTAGCCAAGGTCGTTCGCATGTCATACTAGAGCCACATACGCGACGCATGCTCGACGATGGCGCTACATATCGGGATGGCTGGCAACTGGAACGCAACTACACCCTGGCTCTGGAGCCGCGCCATGGCATCATAGGTGAGTATCAAAGCAGTGCATTTCTACTGCGCGTTTATTCAAATAATTAATCAATCTTAAATACCATAGAATATGAAGGCTCACCCAGACGTATTGGCATTGCGACCAACAGTACATCCGCTGCAGGCGAAGCCGAGCTGCCAGTTGGCACAATAACAGCAAAACCTGCTGCAACTGCAGCTACACCAACAATGGCACCAGTGCAGCCCATAAATTATAACACAAGTGCGGCAAACTCTTTGCAAAAGACGCCGGCACGAACTGCACTTTCAGCACTGGTCCAATGCCAACCGCCGCAGGCATATCCAGTTCGGCCTGGTTTTCCACAGGTATAGTTCGTAGTTTTAAAAAGCTTTTCCAGTTTTCAATTTCTTTATTTTTGCAGCGCATAATTTCGCCACCGCGTGAGCTTCGAACTAGCTCGCCCACACAACAGCATCAGCAGCTTTACAGCAATGGCAGCAACCATAGCATTAACAACAACAACAACAAAGCATCATGCGGCGACAACAATGCCGAAGATACGAGCAATGATGTCTCCGAAATTGGTACCATATCTGACCAAACTACGCCAGAGGCCGCCATCACGGCCACGGCGAATGAGTTAACGAGCTGTGCGGATATTTCACCGCCACCCATAGTAGTAACAACAACCACAGTTGCTAGAACACCGCCATTGGCTGCGACCCTAGCAACAGCAATCACTAGCAACTCCTCGACCATGGGTACAACTCTCACAACTCCAGGTCCATTGAGACTGCATCCTAAATCCTCAACTTTTGATTACCTCTACGAATTCTCTGAGACGCGTAAAGTATTAGAAGAGTTCTTTAAATGCCCGTCAAACGACGAACAACCAATCGTGGAGAACAGCAGCGATGTGGACAGCATTGTAAGTAGATAAGAGTTGGTAACAAGATCATGAAGCGATACTTAATATACATAATATTAACTAGGCTTTAAAAATTTCCATTGTTGAAATGATATTCATTCATGCATCTCTGAATATCTAAAGCCAATCATTCCCTGTTCCTATCAACAATTAATTTTGGCAATAAACCACTTATCTATATGTTTATCCATGTGAATGAATATGCAATCATTGTCTGTCATTGTCATTGTGAATCGATAACTTTTTTTTGTATCTTACCAAAATTAAGGCATAGTGTAATTGGGATTGAAAATTTTATTTTTGCAGGACATACAGTACGAATTTCATAGCAACTTTGAACGTGACGAGGAGGAGGATGTAGAGGAGGAGGAGGAAGAGGAAGAGGATGCAGAGAATGAAAACGAACATGTCGAGCAAGATTATTGCCAGCAACAGCAGAAGAAGGACCAACAACAACAATTCATGCAACAACCGAACACTACGGAGCGCCATGTCTATGGCGCGTATACGCAACCACAGTTGCAGATGCAGTCGCAATTACAACTACAGGCGCAGCTACAGTCCCGGCCAGCACAACTGCCACGGCATTACAGCGGCAGTCCTCTATTGCGCGACTTTGATTTTTTCCTGGACTCAGCCAGTCACAGCAGCGGCGAGCGAGAAGGTGAACAGGATGGGCTCAATCACAACCAGCTGCTGAGCAACTGTAGCGGCAGCGGCTTGGGTCAGAGCGCAGGCCAGATCGTGAGTGTTGGCTTGACGGGCGGACACAACTATCGCTACTCACCGGAGACCACTGACTATGACTCCAACTGCGGCGATCTTGACAGTAAGTAGCTTATTATCAATCTATCTTACAAGCTTCTCAACATTTTTAACAATCCATTTGACAGGCCTCTCGGGCGAGATGAATGGCGGCGTGTCGACATCTTGTTCAAACTACGCCAAGTACTATGCCTCGGCTATGCCCGTGCTAGAGGATGGACTTTCTTCGGGTCACACCAGTGACACAGATAATAACAATAAGAACCAACAGAAACCTAGCGGCCAGGCAAACCAGATAAAGGAACTAAGTCAAGGTCACGGTCAGGATCAAGGTCAGAGTCAGAATCAGAGTCAAGATCAAGGCAATCTAAGCACCAGCACCAGCATTGGAGGTGGCATCTCCATGCTAATGGACATGAAGCGTATCTCAACTAACAATAGCTTAAATAGCATGCACAACCTGACTATCTCCACCACGGACAGCAACGAGGTCGGCCCCCAGCTCAGCCACACGAGTCCTAGCAACGGAAACCCCAAGCAACAACAACAACAACAACAACAGCAACCGTCGCAGTTAGCACATCAACGAGAGCTTCTTGGTCAGAGCCCCAGCAGTAACAGCAATAGCAAAGTGTTCAAAAACATTGATCCAGAATTGGATTCGCTCTACTCCATCAGTAAGTAGAGAATAAAAAATTAAATCATATAAAAAATTATGATAACAAATTTATTAACTGTTAACAGGCGAAATAAATTTACTTAAGGTGATTTGTAAGATGTAGTTGAGGATAATCTAATGCGTAGATACATAATTTTTTTTGTAATTTAGTTTGTTTATTGCTGACTCTATAGCGCATTTAACTTTAAGCATAACCTAGTGAGTTGGTCCAGTATATACATCTTAAAGTCTACACTTAATTACAACTAACTTTATTTTATTCAAATTTAACTAATTCTCCGATGGTCTAGAGTAATCTCTTTTGCCTTCGCCTGTTATTGTTGTGACCAAATTATTTGTGATTAAGTTATCATGCGCTGGCAGTCTACCGCATGTGACCCAATGAGTTCAGCGACTGTAGGAATTGATAAATTCCCTATGTAGCACTGCGTTTCTCACAAACCAGTTAGCTCCAGTCCATCTGCGTAGTCGCCTAGCTGAGGGTATGTTGTACGCAGATAAATATGTTTGACGAGAGGGTGGGCTGCTAGGTGCTCAGCATTAACTGTTTATTATTGGAGTTTGTTTGCTGCGTAATCCACGTCTTCATGAGTTTTTACTTCCATTTCTGTATACAGAGAGTAATGTGGGTTGCGTATAATAACTGCTAAATTTGATTTTACCAGCAGTAGTTCTTTCCTAGTGGGGAAAAGCTGTGGCTGCGTATGAATTGCGACTATTAGTGGTGGTCAGGGGATAGCTATATTAGTACCCCCAAATGGATGCCACTTATTCCTGTCGTCACCAATGAGGGTTTTATTCAAACTTTGGTCAAGTAGTTGGGCGATATATTGATTAAACAGGCCAATGTTTGGCGGACAATAGATTAAGGCAATTCTATCGCTTAAATATACGTAGGCAGGGTAATAGCTGGGGTCTTCATTGCTGCATTAGAGGTTAGCAGTAATGGTGTATGCGTGTATCATATAAGGATCAAAGATCCACGAAAACTGTTTGCTCCTCTATTGTGAAAATGCTCGTATTAGAATATTTGTTTGATGTTGCACTCATGAGCTCTTGATTTTAACATGATATCACTGTTTTTCTTTTTTTTTTTTTGAGAGGAACACATCCAGTCTTGTTGCTCAGGCAATTGGCGTTCCAGATGCCAACACATAGAGCCATTATTTGGCGCCAAGCTTAGTTACATTTATGAGTGCCATTAAACTGGTCAGTATATTTGCCTACTGGGCTTGTAATTGTCGCATTTTTTTGAGTTAAGTGCATGAAACTGGTGCTGTTGTTGCTAAAGTATTTCGGTGAATACTATGTCACATATGAAACACTACTTGTAGGCGTTGCAGTGTTCATGAAAATACGGTGTATTAGGTGATTGAGTGGGACTGCATTTTTCACTGGAGATTGTAACTTGAGCAATTCCTTGTATATTAAGCTGCCCTTGTAGTTGATTGCCCCTTTTTACTGGTGCAATCTTTGGATGTATGTTTCCAGGCGCATCGCACACTCTTGGGAGCTTTGTGACAGTAGCGCTGTGTATGTACATATTCTTGACAGCGATGACATTGCATCAGATTATTGAATTTTCTCGGCAGCTCCACTGTGCCATATTATCTGCAGATAACTCGTAGATCCAGCATTTGTTTATTCGTGGAAGCCTAAGCCTGGAAGTCACCAAAAAATATGTTCAGTGGGGTTTTGTCAATACGGCTCAGTGGATAGTGCACATTCCTGATTTTGTGGATTTAAGATTCCAGCTCCTCTTTTAATAGTGTGACTTCAGTACTGGAGTGAAGCTCTTTGAAGCAAACTCAATATGGCTTGTCTTTCTTAAGCTGGTTGCACTGAAACTGAAGCCTGCATCGTCTTCTTCGAGCTTTGGACTTAGTGATGCTTGGTTGATTCTGGATAAACTTTTCATACCCTCTCGTTGAAAACGGGAAATCAGGATATAATGGTCATGTGCAATGTATCTAACAGACAGAAGTATATATAGTCTTGATCACAACGGCATTTGAGTCGATTGAGCCCTGTCCGTCTGTCCGGATATGTGAACACGTGCATCCGATGGGACTAGAATCTGGGTATCTCCTAGGCGAGCACCCCGACTAGAGCTTTGGTACTTGTTCTTTATGGCTTTTGGTGAACTCTGCTATTTATGTAGGTATTTTTGTTGTTGCTAATGCCTTGCACAAAGGCTATATCTATGACACTTGAGCTTATTGATTTTATTGAGGCTTGTCTGTTTGTCATAACAATGTTAAGCCAGGCTTGCATATTCGGCTTTTATTTTACGGCTTCAGTGGGGTCATTGACATTAGATGTCATTGCCAACGTAGCTCGAGTTAGCAGTTGAGAACAGACGTACTAACGCCAAACGGCAAAAATGCATAAATTCCAATTACAATAGCGCGTAGCAAGCGAATCTTAAAATTTAAACCCAGCATGTACAATTTTTGTTGTTGTTTTGCAGAATGCACCGCAAAGTTATATTTTTAAAACTCTGCAGCAATAGAACGTAGGCGAAGGCTATTCGATTGATGTCTTAGATTATTTTAGAGTAAGCAGAGTAAAATGCAGTTAACACGCAATTTTCATTTTGAGCTACATATAAATCTTTCAATACTTTGCAGGTATTTTTCACCGTCCGGACATGGTGCAGATGACACCACCACCGCCGGCTCCGGCACCGCATCGCAAACCAAAGAGCAGCGCTGAAGTAGATCTGCTGCTGGCCGCTGGGCAGGGCAGTAAGCACACATCGCTGAATGCGGTCATCGGGTCGACGTTGCAGCGAAGCTCTCCCACCGCCTGCATAGGCGTTGGCAGCGGTAATGCAAAATCGCGCAACACCGGCAACAATTGCAGCAGTAATAGCATAATTGGTGGTGGAATGGGTGGTGTGGGTGGAGGTGCTGGTCCTGCGCCGCCACCCATACCTGAGCGGAGCAACATGCAGCCGGTGCAACGCTCGCCCTCGCCTGTGATAAGCTCGCCCATATGGCTGTCACGGCATCTGGACGGAGGCGCTGGTAAGGCAGTACTCGAATCAAGCTCTGACAACCACTCGAAGAACCATAGCGCCGACGAAGAGGATGTGGACACGGATCTCGAAACTGACCGTCTGCTGGGCCATCAACGTCTGGACGATCAGGGCTACTATGATGAGAACAAAGGCTGGGATCGCAAGCCGCGTAGCTCACTGCTCTCCAAAATATCGCCGAAGCAACAGCAAATGCCCAGCACCAAGACACGCAACGGTTACAATGCGTTGCTTAGCTCGACGCCTGAACTGCCGCCGCCCATTCCATCCAAGAGCTCAAATAGCCTGGGCGGATCGGGTACCGGTAAGCTGATCGATCTGGTTAGCGGTAGCATCGGTGTCGAAATTGGTTCCGGCATTGGCGTTGGTGTCTGCGCTGTACAGAAGAGCCATTCAGGCAACTCCTCGGAGCTCAGCCACAAATCACCGATAAAAGTTGCCGGTAACGGCCATGATATATGTGGCATGACAGCTACCACAGCTGCCGATGTGGTCGCCTCTGCTGTGGTGAATGCTGGCGGACTTCTCTCCCATGGTAGTCCCAACACAGGAGGTGGCTCGGAGCGCTCAGCTCCAGCGCTTGCCAAGATGGATGTGGAAAATGAGGGCATCAATAGCGGGGGCATAGTTGGTGCTGCCAGCGGTGTGGCCAATACTGTTATGAATAATGGAAACAATCCCACCAATGGCACCGCTGCCAACAACAATAACAATAACAACAATGTTCCCATTGGCAGCAACAACAGCTGCGGCAGCGCCGCGGGCAGCAACAGCAACAGCGGAGAGAAAAAAGTGAAAAAGAGTAAGAGCAAAGAAGGTAAATGCTTTGGGTTTATCCTTCGTTTACGTATTGCAGTTATAGTGTCCTCATATAGAACTTAATATAACCGTTAATATTGAAATCTATAGCTGTTGCTCTTCATTGCTCGGAGTAGCGCAAAATTTTTGCAACTCGCAATCGAAGAGCAAGCGCAGCCTTTACAAAAAAAAAAGCAGCATAATCCTAAAATGATAACAATATATTAAGCTTGGCGTGCCGAAGCTGAAATACCTTTGCCATAGCATAGTTGATTAAACTACATATAACGGATTCCTGTCTGAAATTCGTAATAAAGAGTTAGAGTTACAGTTGGTCTTGTGCTAGCCAGATATAAGCGAAATTCTTTCAATTCTTGTTTTAAATAACATTTTCAGATCTGGTATATGCAGAAAAAGGGATTACATGAAATGCTTTTACGTAAATTTACTTACTTACTCACTTACTAACATACTCCAAAAGGTAACCAGTTTTAGAGTAAAAATTATATATGTAGCTATCATAAGATATATTAAAACTACAGTTTTTATCGAATTTTGTTGTAGTCGCTCTACATAATACTCGTTGGCGGTCTAAAAACCGTTTAAACTGTAGGTGACCAGTGCACTTACGAAATGAGCGAATATATTGGTTTTGTGCAAAGTTCGTCTTGCGGTTCATCCGTCCGTAGGAAAGCGAACCATTTGGCGCTTTTGAAGCTAGGGACTTGAAATTTGGAATATATACACCGTGTGTACCATCGCCTGATAAAGAGTATTCCGATATGCCCACTTGTAGCGTGGCAAATAATGAAATACTGCTTTAAAAACGCTATTAGTTAAAGTACTGGAGACTTTACATTTGATAACCAAAGATTAAAACAAGTAAGAAAGCAATAGTCGTGGTGACAGACTAAGTGATACTCTGATTTCAGTCCCATATGCGTTTTTCAATATGTTCCGTAGTTTGTATCGAGTAATAAAAAACAGTAAATAAAAATCGCAGTTACGATACCAAGATTCGAACCCACATTAGCTACGCAATGCGCATGAGCACTTTTAACACCGCTACTTCATAATTAAACAAATAAGAAAGCTCTAGTAGGAGTGCCCGACATGGAGATACCCTGATCCCATACCTATCTGCATTTTTAAATATTTTCAATAGTTTATATCTTGTATTAAAAAAAAAAAAAAGCAAATAAAAACCGACATTACGACACCAAGATTCTAACCCACAATTTTTACGCAACGCGCATCAACTCTACCAACATCAACACTTCAGATTTAAAATATAAAACAATAAAAAATGTTCCTTCGCCACCGGACACTGACCACTTACGATTACCGCCTCTACCGCAGCCACTGCACCACCTAGAAGAAGAGTTGCAAATTTGAACTAAAATAACAGCTGATAATTCAAGCAGTATTCAAGCGCAATTTTGATTCTTGGAATAAAAAGAATACACGCATTTGAATGTATGTTTGCACACGCATAGGAAAAATGCGTGCGCTTGGCGCTGCTTGACATGTGCTTTTGCAAATTGGCCAAACGTTTTGTGAAATAACTTATATTTTACTTACTGAATTTTAATGAAATTTTCAGCATAGGATCTACATATTCTATTGGCTTGGTAGAGATGCAAACGCAACAAAACTTAATTATTAAGAATTTGAGGAAGTTTGGAGCTGGTATCCAAAATCCAACAAAAATCAAAATTGCATAAAATATACATAAAACTAACTTCAAAATTTGGTTCTAGCTCTTAAAACATATGAGATATAATTTTTGAACCGCATTTCGATCATGCTTTTATTCGATAACAATTAAATGCAAATAGTTATCGAATATATTAAAAAACCTTGATATGCGCGTGCTATACACGGACCTACAAAAATTTTAAGTCTCTAGCTCTTATAGACGCTAAGATCGACGCATTCACTCATACTGCAACGCATCTTTCTGCCTGTTACATGCATTTGCACAAAACCATTATAACCTGAGTTCCCATTTTCAATGGGACGGCTTTACGTACGAGTCCAACATTCTGAAAATGGGAAATCAGGGTATTATGGTTTTGTGCAAATGTATGTAACAGGCAGAAGGAGGCGTGGCAGACCCCATAAATAATATATATTATTGTTCAGAACGAAAAGCCGATGGAGCCCTGTCCGTCTGTCCGTCTATCCGTCTCTCCGTCTGTGTGAACGCGTGGATCTCAGCATCTATGAGAGCTAGAGTTTTGAAATTTTTTGTAGGTCCGTGTATAGCACGCGCAGGTCAAGTTTGTTTCAAATATTCGATAACTATTCGCATTTAATTGTTATCGAATAAAAACAGTATTGAAATGCAGTTAATAAATTATATCTCTGAGGTCTTAAGAGCTAGAGCCTCCAAATTTTGTATTTAGTTTTATGTACATTTTATACAATTTTGGTTTTGGTTAGATTTGTGCTGAATTATTAGCTGCTACCTAACTTCAAATTTGCAACTGCTTAACAAAGCAGTGCAGTGGCTGCGTTGATAGAGGCGGCGCTAATCAGCGTTTAATCTCGGGTTCAATCCTCGCGGTGACGAAAAATTTTTTATTGATTTTTTATTTTTATTTTAAATTATGAAGTGGTTGGTAGAGCTGATGCGCAAAATGTGGGTTCGAATCTTGGTGTGGTAATGTAAGTTCTAATTTGTATTTTTTTAATGCTCGATACAAACTACAAAATATTAAAAAACGCAGATAGGACTGGGATCATGGTAACTCCTAGTCGGGCACCCCGACTAGAGTTTTCTTACTTGTTTTCTCAATGAAAAAAAAAAATTAAATTGAAATCAACATTAAGTATTCAATGGGCTTGTGAGCATAGTCCTTTAAAAACTATATGTCCGCCTTACTGACTGCTTAACAAAATATTACTCCATAGATCCAATACACAATCCTATAATTAGAAAGTTAGAAATAGTTAGCCAACAAATGCGCTGCAGAGGTATCAAAAAAACATAAATTGAATTGAATACAATTGAATTAGATTTATTAAAATTGTACTATATGATTTGCAGTAAATATATGCAAATCGGTAAATGATATAATTATGATATTTGCTATCGATAAATATTTAAATACTTATATATGTATTTTCTATATTCTTTCGCATATTTTATTGCCAAATTTTCGCTTATTGCATGCATCGTTCGTTCCTTCATTTTACTGTGTCTGTGTGTGTACAATACTTTGTAAGATACAATTTCAATATGTAGTCGCAACTAAGTACCCAAACTATTAGAGCCAATAATACAACAACACACACAAAGCCAAAGCACACACTCACATACCAAATATATTTGAGTTTTAAGCTAATGCCAAATGATATATAACAAAATTTATTATCTATTGAAGGGGACATTCGCTCATTTGAACATGACTAGATTTTCATTTGCTAATTTTAATATGATAATAGACAATAAATGACAATTAGTCCTGCAAGAATTGAATCTCATATTCGATAGATGTAGTTTGCCCAGATGTAATCATTAACTAAGGTAAACATAAAAAAAATTAATTTAATGCTGATACACTCTGAAACTATATTATATTTGTTTAAATAAAATCTTAGTGTTATTCTCTTAGACTTTTCTCAAAAACAAAACAATATTTTAGGCCTTTTTGAGGTTTTAGTGTTTGACCATTGTGCTTTGGTTGATTGGGAAGAATTCATTTAGGAAGTGCAGAAGCACACATACACACACATGCACCCACCCACACTCACAATATATGTACATATATCTATACCAAAACTATACTATATTCTTGCTTACTAATAGATTTTCTCTTTTCTATTAACAACAACAATCAATCAAACCAAAAGGCGGTGCAGTGCTCATTGAAGGCGTTCTATTTCGGGCGAAATACTTGGGCTCCACGCAGCTCGTCTGTGAGGGCCAACCCACAAAATCGACACGGATGATGCAGGCTGAGGAGGCCGTGTCTCGTATCAAGGTAAACTACCTAAATTACCTGCATATAACAAAAAACAAAAACAATTTAAATAATACACTTAAGCGATTATTGCTATATACTCCTCTTAATTTGTACTATGTATGCCTCAAAGACACATAAATTTCATAATTTTAGTTCATTGATATAAATGAACCTGAACCTCTATACCCTGAACCCATTGAAAATAGGAATTCAGGCGATAATGGTTTTGTGAAAATGTATGCAGCAGGCAGACTCCATAAAATTATGTCGATCTAATCATGTCTGTCGTCCGTTTTTTAAGCGTATCTTGAATACGACAAAAGATAAAAAAAAATTTGAATCAGTCTGAATTTGATTAAGTCACCTCATATATAAGAAAAGTTATTCATCAATTAAAATCCCAAGGTATGGCTCAAACTGTAGCTCAAGCACAGTCGGCTCGTAAACTCCGCAGTAAGCAGAGCGCATGCTTATGCGTTCGTGGGTATGTGCGTACGCATTTGTTGTTTGTAATGCATGTACATATATAAGAATTGTAGAAAGATTGCGATATCAGCTCGTCGCAGGGTTCAGTGTATCTGCTAGTGTTACTTGTATACTATGATTTAATTCTGAGCTTTAGTTAGTTTTCCAAAGCTTTAATTTTAAAAGCTTAACTTCAAATCTTAGTTTAATTCATTTTATATTATGTATTCATATGTATCTGTTTGTATTCAATATTCCGATTTCAGTTGTCATTTAATATAATATTTTTTTAATTTCGTACTCATTCATGAAGTGAAACAGTATGTTGTGCAGTATCCGACGTGCTGTCCGTACGTAACGAATGTATAAATTAATATGTTGCTGGTCCAGCGATGAACTAGGCGTCGGTGGCAGGTCCAGCGTTGATCGGGTATTTATAGTCTTAATCAATAAGTTGCTGGTCCAGCGATGAGCTAGGCGTCGGTGGCAGGTCCAGCGTTGATCGGGTAATTATAATCTTCTTATGATGATTATGTTGGAGGGTTTGACTTCACCCCCTTTTCTATTAACTGGCCTTGTGGCTCAGCAATGATCAGAAATATAACAATTCGATTACGGCGGTGTGCCGGAGTAGTGCGGGTTTATTCTTCAAACTTCAATACAAAACTGATTTTTAGCTACATAGAATATTTCACTTAAGCTAAGCCAAAACTCGCATCACACCACAATGTCATGGTCGGCAAGCCGACTCAGCAATCTTAGGCAATAACGGAAACTCTTGCAGTAAACAAAAGTATCTGGTTACCGCCGCTGACCATTGCAGTTATAGCGCGCTGATACAAAGTATGCAGTGTCGCAATTGCGAGGGCTGTTTCTTAACTTACGAAACACGCGATAGCGAGGGTTGATTATAAACTTATGAAATACCCTATATTAAATGTTATGTGTTAACTACTCCCCCTTCAAGTGTAAGGCCGCCCTCGGCCGACCCAATTCCGGCGACGACTTCTCGTAATTGCTTCGCAGACTTCCTTGCGTCGATGAACCGCCAAAGGGTGAGGCCAATGTAGATTAAAGCACAGCATATAGCTCCAATGATGAATGCCACACGATAAGCTTGATCAGTTCCGGCGTCTTTCTTGAATTGCTGTATCTCCTCCAAATTACGTTCATTTAAACGATGAAGATAAGGGAGGCTGAGGACATCTTGGCTGGCAGTGATGTTCAGCAAGGGAGAGTTGGCAATGCCCGGGACTCTATTGCGTACGTTGTTGTGGTTGTAAAACAGAGTCCCGTTGATCGCGACTCGGTCCCCGAACGTAATGAGATGCGTGCCGTGTACTTGGATTTCAGTGCCGTTATCCACCTGGATCCTTGCGAACCCGTCGTTAAGAATGATGATTCCATCATCTACGTGGGTGATTATTTCCAGGTTGCTCGGCTGGATTTCACAGTGTGCCGTGCCACCTGCATGGAGCTCTTTGGCACATGAACTCTCTAATGCCAGACGACAAAAGGTGGCTCCAGGTGAAGCGGTGCAACTCTGCAGTGTGTGGGTTTTTCCATCGCATTCGGCTATGATGTTGTCAGGCAATCGCAATATGAAATTCTTGTGAATGACAGGATAAATCGTAATTTTTCTGCAAGCTTGTTTAATCTTTGGGAATTTAATTATAAAATGTATAGTGTTAATGGATTGAAGGACTTTTACGGACGCAACGGACATAAGATCTCCTATGGGAGTGTTGGTGGGTTCCTCTAGCCAAATTGATTTCAAATCTGAGTGGTCCAAAATGTTTGGGCTAACAATGTTAGCCTTTGCAAGAGTAATAGCAAGCATTAAATTTTGCAACTCCATTACCAGCATTCTATTTCTAGACAATAGTGTCTCGAATAAATGGCTAGTGTCAACTTGTGAGTTTTTGGCTATCTTGAGAATCTTATTGACAGTGAATGTCAACTGGTTAAGCTGGTCTTGAACTCTAGTGTTTATTTCTATCTGTCTATTGTTGGCATTTACTAGCTGCCTTTCAGTAAATCTAGTCTGCTCTAAATCCCTGGCATCAGGTGTACCCGCCACAACCTTCAGTATGGACCCTAGGAAATCTAAACTTCTGGCGACTCTATGATGCGTGCCTAACGCCTCCAATAGGTCTTGTAGATGTACCGTGTCCACACTCAGAAGTTTTTTCATGTGGGATAGCGGGAACATGTCAATTAATTTGACCGTTTCTTCCACAATTCGCACGTATTCTGAGAGGTTTGCCGAGTGCCTAACGTAGGCGTATTCTTCCCATATCAAGATTTCGCCGTCGATGATGGGAATGTACTTGGCACGCGAGTAGTCGGTGACATGTGCCGAAGCCACTGATAAGAAAAGGAGTACTATGGATCCCAACCTGTGAAATAAGGTTGTTTCCTTTCTTTTTAGCAACTTTTTTTTTTTTAAAAGGTTTGCCCACCACCAAAAATGTTTAATAAAAACTATGCCAAGTGGCTAAAAGTAAATTGAAAAACTATATCTAACTTATACAAGTTTGCCTAGTGGCTTAAAAATAAAAAAAAACAAGAGTCATCTTAGGTTGTCCTTGTGGACCACCCTCCCTCTAATGAGGACCTCGGTCCCCAGGTCTGCATCCACGGCCTTCTCATCACATAAAGGTGTGAGTTTGTTTCCGAGTCGTCGGTTGGACTTGACCAAAACTTTGTCACCAACGTCAAAGACCCTATTCTGCCGATTTGCGTTCTCCCTAGCTCTAAGCGTCATCTGAGCGTTTCTGATCTTTTCTTGTATTTTCTCTTGTGGCTCATCTGGTTGAGCCTGAACCACATCAACTGGTCTCTGGTCGATGACCGAATGGATCGACTTATTGTACTCAGTTGTAGCCAGTAAAATGACTTCTACCGTGTCACTTATGCCCTTATCGATCTTTAGGCATCTGGCTAGCTCCAAGAGAGTGCTGTGAAAGCGCTCAACCTGTCCATTCGAGATGCTATGCAATGGTGGTGCATTTGAAATGCTGACCCCATATTTGTTTGCGAGCATAGTCACGATGGTCTCTGAGTTCAATGACGGTTCATTGTCACAGTAGATGGATCTGGCTTTTGGATAAAAATTCATCAGCTGCATTAACGCTGGCTTCAGATCCACGATGGTTCTTGAAGGGACCGGTTGGACAATAGCAAACTTAGAGAACTTGTCGATGCAAGTGAGAAAGTATTTCCTGTCAGTGGAGAAAATGTCTATGTGTAACATCTCTCCTACATGTGCGGGTATCGGAGTTTCCCCAATCTCTTGTTTTTTGGGGTGTCTATCGTATTTAGCCCTAGCACATGTTTTGCAATTTAGTACTATCTCATTGGCTATTTTTGCCATCTTTGGAAAGTAGTACTCCGAGAGTACCTGCTTAATATTCTCTTGTGCAGCCCTATGGGCCCTATTATGTTCGGCCGTGAGAATTTCCCTTCTTTCTCCAACTGCCAATACGTCCACTACGCGATTTTTGCAGTGCCAGAACTTTGTGGCCGGGTATCTTCGAACCAATGTATCTTGTATCATTGCAAGCGTGTGTAAATTACAGTGGAGAGCATTCACGCATTTGGGTGAAACTACATCTTCGAGCTCGTCTAGCAGCGATTCGACGCAAGTATAGTTGACCAAGTGGCGTTTCTTATTTCCAAAAAGAATAAAACTTCGTTTTAAGGGGAAACGCGCCTCTTCTATAACTATTTGGTTTTGAAAACAGTTCAAGGGCTTATCTGTTGTCTCGATGGTGTTGGTAAGTGATACCTCACTGTGGATCGTTGCTGCGCAGGACTCAATCTCTTGTTCATTTACAGCGTTGAGCTGTTGTCTTGACAAGGCATCCGCAACCAGATTGTCCTTGCCAGGTTTATAGAAGATACGTGCATTAGACTCGTCAATGCGCGCTTTCCACCTTTTGATCTTCGCATTTGGATTGGATTCCGAAACTGCGAAGGTCAAGGGTTGATGGTCAGTGAAGACATTAATGTCTTTCACCCCATACAAATAGTGCCTTAACTTGGCAAGTGACCATACGATGGCCAATAACTCTCTCTCATTTGTTGCATAGTTAACCTCGCTGTCCTTCAATGTTCTTGAAATCATTGTTATAGGACGACCCTCTTGTGACAAAACTGCACCTATGCCGTGAGCCGAAGCATCGGTCGTTAGATCGAATGGCTTCTTAAAATCGGGGTACCTAAGCATTACATTCTCGGATGACAAAATATCGCGCAATTTCTGAAACGCCCTTTGCTGCACTTCAGAGAATTGAACTTTTATATTTCTGGACCTATGTTTACTGACTGTTCCATTTTCACCCTTCAAGATATTCGAGATGGGTCTTGCTATAGCGGCGAAGTCCCTAATGAAACATCTGTAATAACTTGCGAGGCCTAGAAATGATCTGACCTCGAACAGTGTTTTAGGTTCTGGATACTCTTGTATTGCCCTAACCTTTTCGGGATCCGTCGTGGCGCCAGTGCTGGTGACTATGAAACCAAGAAAGTTCACGCTTTTCTTAAAAAAA